CGAGGAACGCGATATGTTCGAAACGCCGAGCAGTTAATGAGTTCCTGCCTAGAAACCGCTTCTGTATAGGGAACACGCCAAAACCCTCATTGTTTCGAGCTTTTGACTGCTCCAAAATTTTCTAGATTAAGCCAGTATTACGGGCCTCATAAGCTAGTTCTAACTCACTTGAGCGTGATCGCCTGGGGCAGGGCAAAAACAGAACAGAAATTCTCTTATCAGTGAATGAATCAACAACAGCCCTAATAATTCGGTTCCGAATTTTCAAAAAATATAACAGGAACTATAATAACTGAGACGTTCATATAAAGGGAGGAAACTTGTTGGAGCGCTTTTTAATTGTCAAGACACTCAGCGCATTCAATCTCTCGAACGATCACAAGAGTTCTGCAGTCTAATGATTTCAATCCAATATATCGCCAGGGAATGTTCGCTCCTCGTAATGAAGACTACCTCACCTCAGTCATACTCAGCGACACCTGAGGCAATAGCTCATTTGCTTTGCGATCTGCTTCTCGTATAGCCTCATCGTACAATCGATCGGCTTTCTCCTGAAAATCTTAAGTATACTCAACCATAGCAGCTATTTCCTGAGATTTTACTATCATACGGAAGGATAACTTTACACCACCTGATCAATTTTCCGTACGCCGAGTTTGAAAGCAGCTCGAACTGGTTTATGGTCGCTTATTATGATCCACTCAGCACTTTCATAATGCGACACTTTCAAACGAGTCTCCGGATCACGTGTCCACCAGAGGATACGGTCACACCATGCTGGTACACGAGCCTTTAGCAAGAGGTTCTCATTTTACTCCAAGAAATGTATAAAAAAGCAAATTACCTTCTCACTCGAGTCCCATGTTGATGTCCCGACATCGTACTTATAAGTTGGTCGGAATGGTAGTATATCAGGCTCTTGAAATCCTACAAACACCTGTCCATTCGATTGTTGCTCCCGTAACTACAATAGTGCACTGAGACGAATGAAAATTGAGTCAATATCATGAAACCAATACCTGGTCATATTTGAACAGTATGGGAAATTCCGATGACGAGGCGATTAATCTCACCTGCAATGAACTTCTAAATTTCAGAGGTTAGAAGGCTCACTGTAATCGCATCTGCCCACTTTAGCTTGTTGGTCAAACAGAAATCGATTCATTTAGTACGTGAAAATGCGGCTTCGCTTTGCAAGATTCTTAGTCATATTTTCCCTCAAAACTTATGCTC